TCGCAACACTTTATCATTGATTTGCTGTTCAAATGCGGACAGCGTTTCACCAAATGTTAGGTTTAGGCAAACATTTCTATACTTGTCGTGCAGTAAGTCATTGAGTTTTGTGACCACAAACTCAGCCGTAGGTCTAACGCTGTTGTAAGTGATGTATGCGTCGACTTATATGACAGACACACCAGTCCTCTAATATGTGTATACTATCACAGCTCCTGTTGTATGGGATCTCCTCCAATAGGGATAATCCATATTTTAAAGTAGTATTGGTTTTACCTAAAAAATATAGCAAGATAAATCATTTTTAAGTTTAAATTTTCAAACTTACAAACTATTATTCATTTCATAAAGTGCAAATAATTATAGCATGTTAAAACATTTTAAAAATTATATTTCAGTTTATATTTATAATTGTAAGTATTTTTTACCTTCGAGTATATGCTTAAGGGTTGAGTGTATGTCAAAAGGAGTGGTGAGCCGGTGCTCATTAACCGTCAGATTGCGGGAACGGTATCTCTGGGGGACATATATGTGCATAAAAGGCAGCCTTTCCTCATACTTTGCAGTGTCTGTCGTATGTCTCCGAACCTCAACCTGTGGTCCGAGAAGAACACGATTACTGTATTCGACACCAAATTCTCGGCAAATAATTGTCCAAAAAGTCTATCAATAATGGGATCAAAATATCCGACATTATTGAGGATATCGTGTGTGAGTCGAGCCATCAAATGAAACGCAAAAATAATTCTGTTTTCTGGCATTCATTGCACGGATAAAGTCCAACAAATACTCGTAATATACCTGAAAATCATATAACAATTAGTAAACAATTAGAAAACATTAGTTTCAATAGACAGACCTCCAGTTCCACTCGATCTAAGTAGCAATATTCCTTAGTCTTGGAATCCATGGCCAGGTAGTAGGGTCTGAGATAATAGTCAGTCGGGGGGTCTGCGAACCCCTTTTTCTCATAATTATATGTATGCATAAATGGGTGCATCCTCCATATACAATGTTTGATAGCCTTTCCTATGATATTCCTATAATTAAAATAATTAAAAATGTTTTAAAAAATAACTAGGTAAATAGGAAAATATAATAGACTAACTTTCCATATAAAGGGAAAGCAGTCAAACTGTGCGTTCATTGTCTCATTCCAGAGGTTCTCGACGTAAAGTCCCGTAAGAAGTCGTGTGAGGTTTGGGAAAGTATTGTCGTAAAATATAATAGACTAACTTTCCATATAAAGGGAAAGCAGTCAAACTGTGCGTTCATTGTCTCATTCCAGAGGTTCTCGACGTAAAGTCCCGTAAGAAGTGTGAGGTTTGGGAAAGTATTGTCGACCACTTTGTTATAGCCATACATTGTGTGAAATCCCTGTCCACTTATTACATAAATAAGTTTTAATAAAAATATAAACTATTTTAAGAAATCAAAAAAGTTGTCATTGGGATTGCCTTTACTAATAGTAGACAAATGATCAGGGTCAGAGGGCTCTTTAGTCAATGGCTCGCCATTTAACGGTCTAATCATATTTGCCTTTTCCTGGACATAGAGTTTCATATCTTTGCGATCCTTTTGAAAATTTTCAATGAATTGAATGAAATGCACTTTATTTTGGTCCATATATTTGTCCACTGATTCACTCTTATTAGGGTGAACTACAAACGCGTGAAACACAAGAAACGCGTCGAAAGACACGTACAGACAGTCGCTGTCCATCAGTGTCTTTATTATCTTCAAGTTGTCCACAGAATCCACGTATCGTTTCATAACTGTCTGATGACTCCTATCGTACAACAGGTCCGACAATAGTCTAATGGCTTTCCGGCGGATATAATAGTCATCTTTGGTTAACAATTGATTGAATTTCGGCACAAATATCTCGTAATCCGTTTGCAAAGCTTTCTTCGCCACAGTCTTGTGTCGAGCAAACAGTTCCCGAAGAGTGGCGAAAACATCGGAAGAGATGGCAAACGAATCGCTTTTTATCAAAAAGTCAAGAAAATTGAGATAAAGTTTCTGTCCGTTTGTGGGCTTTTGTGTGAATTGTGTGAACACCTCTTTCTCCAGATCTTCAAACCGTAAAAACTCTCGAAGAATGAGTCCGCAGACTGTGACCAACTGTGGGTTACCATAAAATGTCACTAATATATGAATGATCTGCGGTTTGGAGACAATGTATTGGACGGCCGGTAATTGAGTGCCAATTTGCTGTCCGA